GTCTTAAAGAGACCCATAATTTTTTTCAATTAAACCCTGATTTTTCTTGTTGACGGTAGAGAGAAAAATGTTGGTCTAATTTTAGCTAAACGTGTTGTTTAAATTAAATACTTCTATTTTTTTTAATGTGAAAGAATCATCAAAGCGATTTCAAAATAATCGGAAATATAGTTTGGGTAAAAGCGTTATAAATGAGAGTTTCTTTTGATATTTGTGTTTGAAATACATGTTGAAGGTTCTGCATTTTTTCATCAAATGTATGCTCATCTTCTTTTTATCTTATAATGTTTTTTTTAATTGCTCATATGTAGAACATTTTAATCTTTAGAATATAATTTCAACCTCTTACAAAAATATATATATGAAATATGATATGTGTGAAGTTAGATTTTAATTGTAATCTTCCTAAATTTTGAAGCAAAAACCAATAAAAATAAATCAATAAAATATCTCCAATCTATTGTCAAAAGCATTTATTTGACTAAAATTAGATACAAAATTAAAACTAATAACAAAAGTGATGATGCTTAAATATAAATCAAAATTTTCAATCTGACAAACTCCCAAATTCATTTTATTCAATGTGTATTATATATAAGAAAACGAGGTTAAAATAGCAAAGAAATTGTGGGTACATATTTAATCAAGCATTGGAAATTCCTATTCACAACGTCGCAATAAAAAAAAGAGAAATTTTAAAAAATGCCACTTTTCAAGTGCCACTTTACAAAAATGCCACACTTTTGTAATCTTTACAAAAATGCCACTTTTTCAAAATTATTTTTTCTCTATATAATTTATGTTTGAGTTAATTATGTTCTATTATGGTTTAGTTATGAGGGTTTAGGGGGTTTTAGGGGTCAAAATATTTTTTAGGGTTTAGAATTTTAAGATATAGGTTTTATAAATCTATAATTAGTGGCATTTTTGCAAATGNNCNCNCNTAANTGGCATTCTTGCAAATGTGCACACAAAAAGTGACATTTTTGTAATTGCCCCTAAAAAAATTAACATTACTATGAAAATAATTCTTTAGAGAAAAAAGAATAATGTTAGTAAAATAATCATAAGTGATGTGGTAATAGTGGGGACCAGCAAATCCATCAGAAATGGAAGAACACGGAGAGATGATTATCACATTATGCAGAGAGTTGCATTAACCTATTATTATTGGACAAATTTAAAATTTTG